ACAGCCTCAAGGCTCAAGTTGGCTGTGCGGATCCACCCCCTCCGTGCTATTGTTGGACAACACGGCCATAATACCCCGTCTACGACCTAAATGCGCCTCAGTCCTTGACAGGCTCCCAAACATCAGTGGAGATCCCTGAAGCCTATCTGTCCCCATCCCGGGTTTGCCAAGCCCTGAAGCCCTGGTCAGCCGACATTAAGCACCCTGTCAACGTTGTAAACATGCCCGCCGCCGCCCATATACAGTACCAACTCGGTACAGTAAGCGCTCTTTCATTTGGCAATGAGTACCGTTCAAGAAATAATATTCGCGACCACACTCCAGCCGTATAACGCCTTGAAAACGAGTAGTTCCCGAATTCCGAGTGGATGGTTATCAACCATGTTGGTGCTGAATGTTGTAACGTTTTGCCGAAAGGGCCCACGAGGATGCAGGGATGCAGATATTGACATGTTGATCCTGGACGCAACCTTGATGTAACGCGATTACAGTTAGGGGAAGATCGGCCCCCGGTTCCGGCGACCTTATTATTTATGTGCAGCGGGCGCTAGTGGGCGCGATTGGCGCAACTTGGCCCCTCTTGGCGGTAACACCTAGCAAATCGCATTTCTATCGCACACACAACCACCTTTGCGATTATGAAAACAGCTGGCTGGGCTTGGCAATAGCCTTTTGACAATGGTGATCACGCAGTTTGCGCGCTCCGCGTCATCTCCACATAATCGGTCTACAAATCGCCACCAGTCGCAGCCTCGAGACAACCTTACCCGAGTATGACGGGTCAATTCTGGCATGACATGCTACCGTGCCGGCCTCCACAATACTCGAAATACTTCCGTCAGTCTGAACGTAATACAAACAGGCCGTCGGCAATTGCAATCAGGCCATGGTATTTGCAATCATCATTATGACTACTGGGTTCCACAGCATCATCCATCTATCCACATCCACCCGTCGCCAGGAATGCGAAAGCCATAACCGCGCGGCGATAGTGAATTGTGGAAAACGGTGTGGGTTTGCAGTTCGGGGCTGCTCACCACGTTCCAAATGCGCTGGGCAGCGGTGCTATATTTAGATGCAATAAATATCGTTATGCCGCGATCCTGGTGGCGGCGACTCGGACGCCCGCGCCTCGTATCCCCATAATCCACTGGGATTGGGATACTCGTATACCCGTGTCCGATGCGTTGTGTTGACTACATATCTTTGAATCAAATGATACATCTTGAAGATGGCATTGGGAGTCATGAATCCTTTGGGTTACCGGCAGCGCTCCGGGTGTGCTATTATTGGAAGCGCCTGATATTGATTACTCCTTTGTATATCAGCCCCATTAAAATACATTGTAGTAAGCCCAACGGCCTCTCCAGATTGGCAGTATATCGGTTGCCTTGTGGAGAAGAGTTCCAATGTATGATGATTTGTGCTCCAGGGTGGAGAAATTTGTATTTTGCGAGCCAGCACGTGGTGTCTCTGGATGATCCCTGACTTGGCCTCGAGGCTCCCGCTGCCGCAGATTACGGAATCAAAGATCTTGGACGCCGATCTATGCTCACGACCTGAACGGGTTAATTCGTGACGCAGAACATGTGCCTCGTAATTTCTGCTCATGTTTTTTTATATTGGTTTCCCTCTTTTTCCTTTCCTTGAAGACCGGCACCACAGACGCTCGTGCACTGCTTCCTATCATCTCACTCTCCGCATGGTCTCTCCCTCTCTTAATCAATCTTGTTAGCCAAACACTACACAGGACCTGAAGACCTGAGTCCTTGCGGCAGGTGGAATACACGGAGCTGTCAGAGCATTGTTCCCGTCCTCATCAACTCCCAGCTATCTCTTTCCTGAATCCTCCTCGACGCGTCTACGACTAGTCTCCATGGCAGTTGACTATGCAACCCAGGCCTCTAGCCTATACCCTCCATTCATGTCTCACTATATGATTGCTCCAAGCGACCTCCAGACTGGCCGTCTTCAGAATCTTCAGCATCGCGGGCAATAGGGCCCGAACGAACAAAGTCGGAGATTGTCGATACACCTGCTTATCCACCGTATCGCCCATCAGTGCCCAGCACTAGTCAAATGCCACCCCGACTATCCGGGTAATCAGGCCGAAGTTGACAGACCTACCAAGCGACAGCCCGCCCCGTCAGATGGCTGCTAACCGACGCTTGGTATCCCACTTGAAGCAACCACGAGTTCTCGCAGGTCTCATTGCCCACCTCGAATGGCTGGATTTCCTGTCACTCTCTAGTTCCTGTCGGGACCTTTTCCAGCTGTTTGATATACCCGCCTTCAAGGATGTCATCCTGTCCCGGTTTGTCCCAGGGTATCGTACTTGTCTCCAGAGTCGCAATTTGAGCAGGTATAACGATGTCCCTACCTCTTTACACGACCTTCATGCGCTTTGTACGTAAATTTATCGTTCTTGTCGGTTGCGGCTGACATTCGGCCAAGCCATCTCTCGCAAGGTCCCTTTGCATCGATACCCAACGCATGCGTTGGCCATCCTCTCTTCTGCCCAACAACCATCTTGGGAACAACGTTTATTATCCCAGCGGCTGGCTGCTCTCACACAGGCTCACTCTCGTTTTGTGCTTCTTCTCCAATCCAATGTTCATAGTTCCATTTCACCCATTGAACCGGAGACAGATATGATTACCTACAAATCACATCTGTCCTACTTGAAGCCGGGAATACGTGAACTCAAGTTCCCTCCTCCACTGTCTTATTCACAATCTGTTATTGACGAAGATCTCATGGATACCCCTTCCCAGCCGACTCGCCCCGGGTTGGGCCCTAGCCATAACAGCACCTCATCAATCCCCGCCCTTCGCTCCAGGCTCCAGAAAGTTCCGCACCCTTCAGTCAGGAGTCTTTCTTCCATGGCGCCCGTCCCCCTGTCGGATTTCGATGGGTCCCATCGAACCCAGAGAAAGCGAAAGCTCACAATTTTCGGGAGACGGACCAGACAGGCCCCACCGCCCCCTTCGGAGCCGCGCACCCTCAAGTACTACTCCAGCAGCTGGAGACACACGTTATTCCATACATCTGGGGGGTTTACTTCTGATGATGATGAAACAGCTGAATTTGGGATGTTGCATCCCCCTAAACGTTCCCACAAACGTTTTGCATCTGTGGCCACATCGAGCGAAACATCATCACTTTCGAGCCCCTCTCCATCCCCGCTCTCTCGGCATTCGATGGGGGACCGGTCTCCCCGAGTTGCTAATAATAGCAATATCTCACGTATGACCTCACCCCATGACCTCAGTTTGGCAACCTCCAGGACACGCGCGCCCATACTGCGCGTTTACGTGCCATGTTCGGATCTTCTCGGTTCTGTTCAAGCATGTACAGATCAGTTGGTTGACTCAGGTCTTTGGGATCAACTTTCAACTGGGGATATCATCTGTAATCTTGGTTACGTCCCTCCCTCCGATGATGGAGGAAGTATCTCGGACGATGGTGAGATTATTAGTTTCGGCCGTCGCCAGAGATCCCGGTCCTCAGATGTGGAAAGGAAATGGCTATTGTTCAATGGCGAATGCCTTGTCCTCTACAGCCCCCCAGATGCCTTGCCATTGGTTGACCCACTCAGCCTTCCATCTCCGTTTTATTATGCGCACATCATGCCCCCACACGTCAGCCCTACTCTGCTCATTGGCCGGCTGCCGCCTTGCGACGACATACCGCAGATGCGGCTTCTCCGTGTCCATTCCAAGGTGCGAAGCCCCCATTCGCCAACTGGGTACGCGGTAGCGAGTAAATACGCCTGGACCGCGCGAATAATTCGGGGCCCGGATCCTGCGGATTTAATGGGCGACGGATGGTTAGGCGAATGGGTATTGGAGGGCGAAGGCACGAAAGAGGGCAGGCAGGCCCTGCTGGAATGTCTGCAAGGATACGAGGTGACAGAAGACGTTCCCCCGAGACAATGGGAGTTGGTCACTGGAAAATGCGGGGGTGGGAGGATATGGCTGAGGTATTTCTCGTCTCCATCCTCGATCAATAATAATCCTCAACCCTTTTTAAAAAATTCTAGACTTTTGAATACTTACCAGGCTCCGAACCCTCTGGACGATATAGAACCATCGATAGGTCTTGCGATATAATCACTTAAAATACCTTCATCACTAGTGTATTGTTGAGGGACATTTGCATAAACGGACAACAGGATACGAATCCGCACCTTAGTTCGCACCATTATCAGTACTTACTTATATTGTAGACTTACATATATATCCCTCTCCCCAATGATTTTACCCCCAATCCCTACGGTGTTCCACCGGTCCTTGGGATGGTTTTTATTCTCTCGTCTCAATTAATTCCATACCTCATCACCTGAGAATTCTGAGGACATAGAAACATGCATATTCGTGTGAACTAGTTATCTACCACACCTATAGACCACCAGAGAACAGCTGTGGAACTTTTCCTGCTTGAAACTAAATGAACCCTTTTGGGTGTCAAAACCACCCCTTGGGACAGTCACAAAATCAACGAATTCAGCCTGTCAACTCCAAACCACGCTTAAGATTTTGGGCTGTGTGCATGACTTGCATCTGAATTGGGCCCTGTGGTTGGCGACAGCCAAATTGTGGCCATTCCTAGCTGATGAAATAAACCTTTCAAATTCATATGGAATGAAAAACTTTAGTCGAGACATCTATTCATAATATCCATACGATGGATCCTAGATACTTTTCGATTTTTTTTGGGCTGGATTGGTTGATTTCTGTATCGTTGTTACGCACCCTAATATTTCCCAAAGAATTGTTGAACTGATTAGCATTGCGAGAGGCACCACAACGGTGATCAGCCATTCTGAGGATATAGAGAGATGCATCGCATGTAAGTATTCAAATATGCCAACTTCGTTTAGGTAGATTGTACAATTTACGGAATATTTAGACTGAGTTCCCATGAACCGGTGGGACACTGTACTTCATCTATCATGGATGGATATCAGCTTTGGGTTTCCAACTGAGCCAAAAATGTTATCCGACCTGCCTGGCTCGAACAGGCGACATCAAGATGATCAGGTATCCATTACAGTCTTGCGCTCTTCCAACTGAGCTAAGGTCGGTTGAGATAGAAGTATAATAATCACACCAAGTTTGCTTAAATTTGCATCAGCGGGGCATGTCTTAATAGCCTACATATCCTCGCTTCGCGCGTTGAGAAGTCCAGGCACAAAATTAGCATAGCTGAATCACAGTATAGAACTACAATATTCAACCGGGGAGTATTGTAAAAATTCAAGTGGTGCAATGGATATCTCGGGATGGTCCCGTGAATCCGGAGAGCCACTTGTCGATGGCTATCGATGTTCTGCAGCAGCAGGACGCGGTACGTGGGCGCGACTATGGCTCCATGGGAGATGAAGTGTAGGTAAGGCAGGAAGACACAGGCATCTGGGTATCGGTTTCCTACGCAAGCTTCCCCGTCCACTGTGACCGCACACAGGAGTAAGGAGATGCGGTGGCGTGACGCTGGTATGAGAGGCTTACATCCCCCACGCTCTTTGCGCAGGATGCATTCACAGCCCCGTGGGATAAAATCCGAAGGCATACGGCCCTCGCCATGCTCTGGACCTCATCCGCAAGTGGGATACTTTTGACACGCACCCACTCACCCTAATTTACCGCGGTTCTGTCCTCGCAGGGGTGCCAGATCCCGTCGTAGGCGTAGCCTCGAAAAATATTTAATGACTACTCCAGACAGGGTTCAACTTGATCAGGGGTCACCTCGTCAGTATGGCTCAAATGGCTTGGAACATACGCTGAGAGCATTAGAGGCGAGAAAGAGAGTGAATAGGGATGTGGGGCACGAACCTGCAACTTGTCGTTGAGGCAATAAAAGAATCCAGGACAGTAAGGATGCACAAAGCCGCAAATACTCGCTAAGCTCGTTCCCATACCACGACGCTCAAGGCTGGGCTCAGTACAGAGAAAAGGAGGACAGAAATTGCTTTTAATTCCAATGTGACTAGAATAGACCCAACAGAAGTCATGAATAAAAAATTTTGCATTGAGGGCACAGGAATACCAAACCGTCCGTTCTGCTTTTTTATTTTGTTTAATGCAATGACACTTGAATTACAAGAAATATTTGGTCTAAGTAGCGCTTCCAAAGATTTGATACCGCCGGCAAATGCTTGGCCCGATCTCGTCATATTGCGCTTTCGTGTGGCACGATGTGTAAAACTCAGGCTGTATTTGATTTAGCATGAAAATATACATCCAGTTAAGAGGTCATACCAAAGAAGCCAGGAGTGATCCACCAAACCACACAGCGTACCTGTGAAGATATGTGAGGACCGACTGAAGCGGATTGAAGGATCGAATAAAACCCACCGTTGACGCTTGTGGGAGATAACGTCGACTTCGACACCTGAAGACTGGGGACAGAATGAACACGCGAACCACGTGTATTTAATCACCCTACCTTCAAGACATTTCCGCTTGCGGTCGCACTCGCATCTAGACGACGGTCCACCAACTGCTTTAAGTCGCGTTTAAGGCGGTTACCAAAATGTTGGAACATCGTCGATCCTCCTGAGAGAACGATATTCTGGGGCAGGGTTGCGAATTGATGCAGGGAATGGAGATTCGTGAAGGAGCGTACCTTGTACAATCCTCGACGGACATCAATGGGAGATTGTTGGATGACGTCGTCTACAATCTCGGGAAGAGGGGTCAAGAAATCCGATGAATAGATCTCAGGATTGAAGAATATTTCCGGAGCCAGGAAACGTTCATATCCAACATCGACTCCATATTTCTACGGGACGGTTCGCCATGTCTCATCAGCAAAACAAAATCCACTCACTCTTCCGGTGACACTATGCTCTCCATCGTACCGTTCGAAGTATTTGAGCGGTTCCTCATCATACTTCCGAAACTCCCGCACGATGTCTTGACAAACGTAGCTGTAGGTCTCCTTGACTTTACTCGCGACTTTAAGTTGATCTTCAGGAGGTACTGCAGCCATTTCTCCACGCTCCCTCATCAAATTTAAGACGAATTGGGAGATATCGCGGCCGGCAATAGGTATATGTTTGATTGCACTCCCGATGACATATCCTTCGGCACAGGGGATGACGTGAGTAACACCATCACCAGAATCGATCACGGTGCCAGTGAGTGTTCGGTCGGTGACCCGGTTTGATGACCAAGAGGCAGCCAGAGCGAGGACAGCCTGCACCGCGATGTACAATCCTTTGATATTGAATGACTCGAAGAAGATTTCTGCTGTTTGCTCTCTGTTCTCTGGCGCATTAAGGGGGGGCTCAGTCTGAATTGGCGTGTTATCAGCAGGAGGGATCACTATAATGGAGAACTCACGAGCAGGAAATAATGATCTTCAGGTTCTGCCCTTAGATATTTGAAAATAGTTTGCTCCCAGTATCGCTCCATATGGTCCCAGTTATCTATCATTCCATGGCGGATAGGATAATGGACACCATATCCAGGGGTTTTGGCGTTTGCGAGTGCTTCATCTCCAATATAAAAATCGAGATCCTCCACACCCCGCTTCGAAGCAAGGTGGCCAGGTTTGGCGGGAACAGCAGGTGCCCTAGACGTCTGGGATGGTGATCCCCGTGTAGCGATCGCGGTGGGAAATACACTAGATATTCATGAAGTCCAATGATGTAGCCTTGCCCGTCTGTCAAACCATAAACACGCACAAGGAAGGATCTGAGTTTCCAGCGAACCTGGAGGGCATTCATCACGATGGGCGATGATCTATTTGAGACTGATATTATTACACACCCAATCTTCGAGTAACCTGTACCGTTGTCACAGATAATGGGGGCTAACAACGACATCTTGCGGCCGAAACGTTTTCGTCGAGACCTTGCGATATTACCTTGGATTGTTTAGGCTGTGCTGATACTGCAGGTATAATATTTGTCCCTGCTTACGATCTCCTAGTCACGATCAAGCAAGGGGACGCCCAGACAAACAACTAATGTTTCATGGCTTTCCAATATCCACGAGAAAAAAATGTTTCCATATATTCCAAAGGAATCCGTTCCTTGGGTAAGAATTAGAGTAGATGAGATGAGATGGTAAGTAGGGATAAATTTCGTGATAAATGTCGTAAAATAGCGGAGAGCAAGGAGGCGCAGCATTCACATCACAACACACCACCTCGATTTCCGTTCAATCGCAGATTCAGTATCCGAGCCCTCAGACATCTCAGATTCCTCAGCGGTGGAAACATCACTGATCGCTGAGGTTGGTGAGGTGGGCTTCGAAGGTATAAATTCTCCTTGTGCAATGTCCAAAGATGTTCTTCCCTCATCGGGAACTTTGGCGGCAGTGGAAAACCAACCGCCTGGGAAGAACCTAGATGATGTGGTGGATTCGAGCCGTGAGCGTGAGGAGGGCGAATATGCATCGAGCGGAGGCACGCTCCCAGCTAAGACTTGGGTATCCGGCGCGGCGGTGACAAGTGTCGGGACGATTGGCCTAACCATACATTCAGAAGGGGCAGCGAGAATTGAGAAGCTAGACTCACTTCGTTGTCAGCTCAGCAGTCGATTCAGATTTCGGGAAGGCCTTTTGAGTTGGTGTACTTGCAGGCGGTATTTCATGGTCCGAGAATTCGGGCGCCTCCTCGTAGGTACCGCTGGCCTCGCTAACCATAGAGTCGCTCAGGGAGTTACCCTCTGCAGCAAATCCATTCGACTCCGGTGGAGCCAATGGATAGCTCAGATCTTGACCACTGCTCACAGCTGTGATAGATACACCATTGGATGTCGGGGTGGCAGAACCAAGAGTTTGCTGTGCCTTGGAGATGGTAAGTCAAAATGTAATGATACTGGCTCAGAATCAACCGTACCTTGGCCTTGTCGTGCAGGGAGCTGACTGATCCCTGCCGTGAAACAGAATAGCTGGGAGTCCAAGGGCTTTTGGGTCGCTCTGGCTCCCCGTAGGGCTCTGGGGCCGCAGGGGGATTATCAAGGATTTTTTGAGGTTCCTGTGGGGTATTTTCTAGTCAGACTCCCAGATCTTATCCAAGATTGCATGAACCAACCTCCACCTTAGCTTCATCGTTGACAATAATTGTTGGCGTACCGGGCGCTACTGGTGAGGGAGATGATTCATGGGAAGTTGCAGCCTCGGTAACAGCGGGAACACCCTTGTCATTCACCACGGGGACGTCGGGAGTAGCAGCTGATATTGTAGGAGCCGCAGGGTGAGGTTCTTCCGCCGTTGGCTCGTCGAGCGATCGCAGCTTCGCTTCTGTTGGGAGGGGACTTCCTTGGCTGCTTACAGAATAAGATGGGACCCAGGTTGGCGAATCAGCATCCTCCAGCGGTACACTTGCTGTCGATTCCAAAAGAACTGGCTCCTCTGGCTGTGACTGGGGTGGAGTTCCTTGACTGCTCACAGAGTAAGACGGGACCCAGGTTGGCGAATTAGAGTCCTCGGGCGGTACCCCTATTGCCGGTTCTTGAGGGCCGGTTCCTCTGGCTGAGGCAGACTCCCCTGATTATTCACGGAATAAGATGGAACCCAAGTTGGTGAGTTAGATCGTTCAATTGATGCGCTTGTTGATTCCGGAAGGACTGGCTCGTCGGGAATCGGTGTCTCTGTCGGGAGCGGGCTTCCCTGACTCTTCACAGAATAAGACGGGACCCAACTCGATGGGTTTGATTCCTCAACCGGTTGGTCCGCCGCAGGTTCCGAGGGAGCTGGCTCGTTGAGAGCCTGCAAATCAGTCGTTGGCTGGAGAGGGCTTCCCTGACTCTTCACAGAATAAGATGGGACCCAAGTTGGCGAATTCGACTCATCAGATGGTACGTCTGTTGCTGGCTCCAGGGAAGCTGGCTCATTAAGAACTGGCAGATTTGCCGCCGCCTGAAGCGGGCTTCCTTGGTTGTCCACAGAATACGATGGGACCCAAGTGAGCGAATTAGATCTTTCGAGTGACGCAGCCGCTACGGATTCCGAAGGAGCTGGCTCGTCGAGAGCTGGCAGATTTGCCTCTGGTTGGAGCGGACTACCTTGGCTGTTCACAGAATAGGAGGGAACCCAAGTAAGCGAATTCGACCTCTCAAGTGGTGGACCTGCC